AACGATCTTGGGGTGGGTAATTACCCCCATTACCCCCCCCCCCCCTTGTATACGCCGGTGTAAAGGACATAGAGTTTGCTGTCAAGTCTTGCCAAATTTGTGAGAAATATCGGTGTAAAAATATCAAAGAACCAATGATATCACATAAAATTCCTAATAGATCATTCGAGAAAATAGCCACTGACATTTTTAAATTTAATAATAAATCATTTTTAGTAATAATGGATTACTTTTCTAGGTGGCTAGAGATACTACCCCTTGAATCTAAAACAGCTGATAGTTTCATGAAAAATTTCAAATTAGTTTTTTTTACACTTGGAATCCCTAATGTGGTCATAGCAGATAATATGCCATTCAATTCTTTCAAATGTAGACAGTTTACTGATTCATGGAATTTTAACATTGTAACAAGTAGTCCGCATTATCCAAAGTCTAACGGCCTTGCTGAGAAAGCTATTGGTATTGCAAAAAATATGCTGAAGAAGTCTGATGACTATTTATACAGTTTATTGGAGTATCGTAACACACCAGTTTTAGGAGTAGGTTTAAGTCCAGCTCAGATGCTTATGTCACGTGTTCTTAAATCTAAATTACCTGTTTGTGATTCACAGTTAGAACCTGTACATATAGACACTAAGGATATAAAAAATAAAATTGAAAAGAAAAGACTTATTGATAAACAGTTTTATGATAGATCTGCATATTATAAACCTGATTTTTTGGAGGGGGAAAATATAGTATTAAGAAAAGAAAATCACTGGGTTCCGGCTAAAATTGAAAAGGTTTTGACTCATCCCAGATCATATGATATGAGTACAATAGCCTATATAGGAGAAACAGTAGTTTTCTTAAAAAGTCATTGAACAAGCCTTTATTCAAAACATCTGATTTTGATAATTTGAGTGAAGAAGGTCATGGTGGTAATGTTACGCAAGAACCACCTCAAGATAATGTTGATAATAAACGTGTTAGGAAAGTGCCTGACAAGTTTAAAGATTTTTATTTTATTAGATATAAGTTTCTTTAAAGGGGAAGGTGTTATAATATTTAGATATTATAGGTGGCGCTGTTGGTCAATGTCTATTTCAATTAAGGAGTCTTTGGCAACATTGTCAGTAGTTGACATCGTTGACAAATGATTATTATTGGAATCGTTGTATTTACGTTTTGTAATTAATTTAATAAATTAATAATTTGAGTTTAAAAACAAGTGTCATTTCATAGATAAAAAAAAATAACTTCAGGTTAAATATTGCTCGTAGTTTTACCTCTTACTGATCAATTTATTGTAAAAAGAATGCTGACAAATATACAGGAGGATCAGAAAGTCCCTGTCATGATTTCCATTTGGTGGAATGTTATTTATCTAAACTAAATTCTCCCTTCACACTCAACCACGGTTTAGGACTTTTTCATTTACCCCTCAAAAGACCTCGCTACATCGGTAGGATATTGATGAATTTATCATTTGTTCAAGTAAAATCACGAATTTTCACCTTGACAGCAACTGAAAAAAAGGATCAAATTAAAGTTTTTTTTTCACTTGTAAACTTGGGAACCAATAGCAAAAAAAAATCACAATAACAATAACTTAACGAACAATAACAATTCAAAACAGCGGACCAGAAAAAATGAATCTTTCAATAACGCGTGTGGCCTCCGTGTACCCTTATGACAGCAGTCATTTATCTCCTCATGTTTCTGATGACATCATCAATCATCTCTTGGGGCAGATTGTCTCATATCTCAACCAGAGCAGCTACTGCTTGTTCGCGATTTTGAACTGCAGGAATTCTGGACCTTATCGTCTTCCTAACATGTCCCAAACATGTTCGATCGGATTCAAATCTGGGAAACATGCAGGCCAATCCAGTGCTCTTATTCCGACGGTATTCAATAAGTCGGAGACGCGACGCGCCACGTGAGGGCGAGCATTGTCGTGCCTTAGCAGGAAGTTTTCCCCGATATGAGGGGCGAATGGTACGACATGCTGTGGCAGAACATCTCGTATGTATCCGTCTGCATTTAAAGCCCCATTAACAATCACCAATTCTGTTCATGACCTTAAACATATCCCACCCCAGACCATTACTGAACCTCCACCATAGGAGACAGTAGCAGTGAAATTGAATTGTTCATTTTGTTGTCCTTGGCGGCGATATAAACTTTCCCTGCCATCGATCAAATTAATGCAAAAGCGGCTCTCATCTGCAAAAAGAACGTTGGTCCAATGATCACATTCCCAATTTTCATGCTCCCTAGCGAAGCATAGTCTTGCCACTCGATGACATTGCTGGATTTTTGGAGTTTTCTTTGTTTTATAGGCCTTTAAACCAATTTATTTGAGCCATCTGCTGATGGCTCGATGCCTTGTCCTTCTTCCACGTACTTCTTCCAGTTCGTTTTTTATTTGTGGTACTCTTCTACGCCTGTTCCGTAATGTTTGCAAAACAATAAATCTGTCGTCACTGGCCGTGGTTGACCGTTTTCTACCTTGGCCGTGTCTCCTCACATACTCTTCCGTTTGCCTCCAATCCCCCTGTATAATTGTGAGCATTATTTCACAATAAATCGATCGGTAAGATGTAAAACTGCGAGCACTATTTAACTTGAACATTCACACACACGACTTGAAGTTGGAAAACGACACATGTTCATATCCAATTCGTAAGTCGACGTGGAGAAAATTAAGGTCAATATCAACCTTTTCTTCGAAACTCTGTATTTTCAATAATATTGAAAATATCAGAGTGAATAAAAAATGAAAATGTTCGGAAAAGATCAGAGGCGTTTTCTCGCGGGGCGAATGGTTGGTTCGCACTACGGTTAAAACCAATTTGTACATGACGTCATCACTTGTGAAAGTTAGAAAATGGAAAGATTGAACCAGAGTCTTATGTCAACGGAGAACAAGCCATGAGTCCGGTTCGAACTTTTTTGAACCACGTTCAATGTGGCGTCACTGGTTAAACGCAAGAATGTACAGGTTCGAATCTAATCGAACCGGATCGAACCAGTTCCACTGAGAAAAAAAAAAGCTCAGGCTACAATTTGGTGTTGAAAACTCTTCTGAATTTCCAGTGGCTCACTCCACCGGGTGTCTCAAAAAACTCTGAAAATTATTGATTTTCTTTCCATTCCTGTATATTATTAAATAAAAGCGAATCATTCAATAACGGTAATACGTAAGATGTATTCATGAAAAATCAAGCTACAATCTGTGAAAAATTCATCGAAATCGAGTGGAGGGTTCTAGAGAAAATTGATGTCAAACTTAGTGTAAATTTTGTCCTTTAACCTAATTTTGCCGGTGTGTGTAGTATACAAACCTTGGAGGAAAGTTTTCATTTCTGTCTCGAGATTAATAGTCGATCTCTCGACAGTAATGAAACACTTCCCTACTCGGTATGTAATATACTAATTCTGTATTCTGTAGATGGGGTACGGGAAGACATCCACGAAATGACATGAATTTCAACGTTCAGGTGCTGCCAGAAAAATCGAAATTTCGTTATAAGTTCCAATGATGTGTAACAAGTAAATAAGCAATTTTCAGGGATGTTTCTGCCACAAAACTTGCACGTTTCCTATGGACCAAAAGGCGGAATACGTTTAAACAAAATGACCGTTGACCATTCGAGCGCGAAAACATCAATTTGAAAAATGTCCAGATTTCTCTAGCCAAGTCTAAACTACCGTCTGATGCAATAATTCAGCTGATAATGACGTTGACGTTGCAAAAAATTTGGATCATGAAGGAAATTTAGATAATGATAATCCACTGTAGATTCTAAAACAGAAAAATCTGCAAATGAGGTTCTTCAAAAAACATACTAAAATTGGAAATATGTTGCAACAAAATAAGGCTTACCTATTCAGCCTGAAATGTTTCAATGGATCGTTTGAGATGAACACCGTTTACCATTTGGTAGTGACGATACGTCAGCGACGAAGAAGTTCCAGAGATCAGGTAAAAGAAAGACATGATGAGACTGTTAGCGAGTGTTGGCTCCTGCGTGCAATAAGAATAGTGTGACCATTCTCTGAATGATATGGCACCGAGCAATGGAGGCTAAACATAAATAAGGGATAGGTTGTCAAAGAACAAGCCACGTCTGATTTAGTGAAGTTTTACTGTACCTAATAATTGACAGAGGGGGGAAGCACAACAACCTGAAGCATTCCATTTCCTAGGAAATTTGATTGATAAGAAGAAAGTTTCTATATAATCTTTAAGAAAAATTCAATAAAACCTTCGTCAAGTCAGTCATTTTATGCAACAAAAAGTTGAACTGAAAGTAGGCCAAAAAAAGAAGATTTTACAAGGGCGGTAAGTCCTTAATCAGGAATATATTTTTAAAGAATTTAGGTGGGTTTATATAGCCACATAATATAACATAAGAAATAAGATAACATAAGATAAAAAGTTGACCTTATGGAAACTCATTATGGCGTTTATACAGAAAATAACATAACATAACATAAGAAATAAGAAAGTTGGTTAACTTTTATGTCTTATTTTATGTGAAAACGGATCTGCGCATGCTCCTCCCTTGATGTCGTCAATGGCAGAGGCAGAGTAGTAAACAAAACATTCCAGCCAAAAAAAAAAAATATATATTTTGATTTTGTTTTCAGCTATTGGTAATTTTTTGGAATTCGATATTATTTTCTGTTTCTGCTAAACTATTAATTATTAATTTTTTTGATCAAATATAGTGTTTTCGGTAGAGTTTACATAAGTACAAGTACCAGCTGATTGGTTAGAAATTATTTCTTATGTTATGTTATTTCCTGTATAAAAGCCACAAAATTCTTATTTCTTATATTATGTTATGTCTTATTTCTTATGTTATGTTATGTGCTGTATAAACCCACCTTTTATTACTGGTTGATATGTATTTAAGATTTATGAGTATTTAATAAGATTGTTTTTGTAAAGTGGCCTGCTTGTTGCCAGTTGCCATGTATAAATAAAATGAAAATTTGTTTCTTATTACCTTTTTAGCTTTTCTTTATTCTTGAATTTTCTGCTAATTGTAGCGAATCCGGCTCGAATCGGTGACTTTTCTCTGCTATTCTTTTTCGTCATTTTTACGCACAAACAGTTACGGCACTTGAATCTTTCAACTTTTGCTCAAACACAATTATTTATTGTCACTCTAGGAACGCGCAAATTTTACTTTTACCGGTCATCGCACTGAAAACACTGGCAATAATTTTATCACCACCATTACAGCACATGTTATTAATATTTTCTTTAAAATAAACCGTGTGCACAACGATAGTCAACTACCCAAACTACCAAGAATTTATTGGTACCCGCGTAACATTGCGGTGCAGCGTGGTAGACCTAGAAAGATTGGTTGGCAATGTAAAAATTCATAAAAGATAAAGATGATTCATTAAATTCGTCATTGAGAGTATACATATACATGCGATTGGCAATGAATGGCAAATATTATAAACAATGGAAATATCGGAGCCGCAGTTAGGTTTTATAGCAATAATTATCAGTAAAATTGTTTTCGTATTTTAATTATTATTCATTTAAATTCTTTCGAAAGTATAACAAACACAATACACTCTAGCGTTTCCGTTTGCCAAGTAACATATCCCAAGCCCGTGCAAACATTTTATAGAGTATTTGTACGAAAGCTCGACAAAGCAAAGAGCTTTGACCCGATTGCCAGCAGTATATAAATATATCTTAGGTAGAAATTCCTCAAAACCATTCAGGTACATTTTATCTGCATGCACGTCTTATAGGTTTAGAAAGCGAGAATGGAATTCTAAAATAGAGGTTTGTAAGAATGTGTTTGTTACTTTACAACCCTTTAAAGGGTAGGTATTTTTTTTGTCATTCTAGAACACCAAATTTTATAGAATTATAATTCCGCATGCCATAAAACTTGAAAATAAAGACAAAAATAGAAAATGGACATATGTTCATGGGACCCGAGATTCAATCGTGCATAGCACGTTTTCAAGCCGCGGGTTTCATTCAGATAAAGATTTAATGGCTATCTTTATGGAGTTGCTATTATTTCTACAAATGTTCCATACAAATAATAATATGTCCATTCTGGGCGAGTAGGTACCTCTTTCTCTTTTTATTCGGTCCATAAGAAGACTATTAGAAAGAAAACGAGTAGGTATGTGCGGTACTTTAAATTCGCTATTAGAAGGTAATTTTCTGTGACGATATCAGTAACAATAATAAATCGCATTGATTCAATGGCAATCAATAAAGCTATTCCGTCAACGCAATTACCCGCATCATTGGTAGAAAACAAATAGTTCATCATGAATCAAGATTCGATTTTTTAAGGATGTTCTGCGGAGAATGGTGAATGGACGCAAAGAGTAAGTTTTATAATGAAATGAAGAAATGAATTTGAAAAATCAAATTATTTATTAGTGTGGTGATTATTGGAACTGTTTTCATCACCAACAACAACAACAACGCTACGCTGATTAAAACCCTCCAGTTTTTGAGTCGATATTCCCGGGTTAGGAAATGCTACTGTTGCGGAACCATTGTGCACGACCGGCCAATCAAACATCTTTCCGATACTGCATAACAACGCAAATACTTTATCCTAACCATTATGCAAATACACTGTTAGTTCTGCCCCAGAATTGATCAGCGTGAAAGAGTTCCTGTTAGAAGCCTTCGATTTTCGACAGTTTTCGATCTGGAATATCTTCACGCATTTCCTGGACCGCTGTCTCTTTTTGTGAATTTTTAGAACGGATTTAGGTATTGCAAATTGAATTATCACCCAGGTTTACGTTACGAACTAGGCAACGGGAACGGACAATGAGTATCGGTACATGGAACGTCCAAGGAATCTCTACAAAAATAAATGAAGTCATATCAGAGATAAAATATCAAAAAATAGTCTTGCCTGTCGCCACAAAGACCAAAAAGAAAGGGCAGGGATCAGAAAATCTGGGAGAGTATGATCATTTCTTCAGCGGGGTTCAAAAAGAATAATTCAGAGCGAAGAACGAAGTCTCGATCTTCATGCACAGAAAATGGAGTAAACATATAACATCATGGGAAGCAGTAAGCAGTGTTGTCAACGGAAAGTTATCAAAATGCTCCCCATTTGTAGTGAAAACGCTCACATTGTGCTCACATCAATGAACTATAGCCAAAAACTGGAATGCGCGCACATTGCCATATCTGCCCAAAAAATGAAGCCATGAAAGACAGATGCCACAAGGGGAAATGTTGTTTTCTTCTGTTGCTCGCTGACATATGACGTTTTCGAAAGTTTTGTCATATTTTCCTTCATAGGTTTCATCAATTGGATTACGTGTTGGAAGCAATTTTCGCCATTTGACATAATGAGTGCGACAAAAACAGGTATCCCCTCCGCAGCAGCTGCACTAGGCTTCACGTTCTTCCTTATGTGTTAGCATTCCAGTTTTTGGTTATAGTTCATTGGCTCACATGTACCAAAAATAACGTCAATGTCAAAATGTCAATAGTTTTCGAGTTTTCCAGTATTAAGTTTTGACATTTGACATTTGACTACGGGATCACCAGGCTGATGCCCATTGTCTTTTTTCAATCGTGTTCGTTAGAAAAAAATTAATAACAAACAGCTGGTGATCGGCTGTTGCAATCCAAGGAGAATACACACTAATGCCTCATTCTGACTTGCGCGAAATTCGCTCTTTTTTGACATTCCCTGCGTTTTTATTCTCATCAAATCTTACTGATGGATCCACCATTCTATGTCGGTCATTGTCATTTTCCATTCACTAATGCCCACTTGCACCAACCGCAACTTAAATTGGTCTTAGCTAAGTCAGGTCTTAATTTTAAGTTAGCCTTTAATTTAATTTACTTGCACCATAGACAAATTATGCCGACTTGGCAAAGTCGGACTTAATAATTTTTGGCGATGGCAACGTTGCGAAATCCTCAGTAAACAGACAGAAGTGTGACAAAAGTCACAAAAGTTGACAAATAGACTTTAGTATTGTGGTTTTTCGGTGTTTGGGTGTTTGAGCAATGAAAAATGGAAGAACTAAATTCTAAAAAGCGAAAGGGCGCGAATTTTACATTAGCATAAAAGGGGGCCCTAATTAATATAGTGGCAAGACTTAAAAATATTATTGAAAATAAAAAAACTGATGCTCTATCCATTCATGAAAAAAAAAAACGAGGCCTGGGAGAATGTATGCAGGAATTTGAATGCTGCTTTACCGGGCATGAGAGAGGGAAGTTTGGATTCTTTGAAACAGTATTATAAGAATCAAAAAGAGGAACTACAGAAACAAAATGAGATATATGATAAATTTATAGGTTATTACGGGTTGAATTTTTTGTTAGAATCCACCTTAGGGCCGGTTTCTCAATAGCGAGTCACCCCCGGGTTAAGCATAACTCCAGGATAAACATAGCAACTCGACACGCTTACCCTGGAGTTAAAACCACTGGAGGTGACTCGCTATTGAGAAACCGGCCCTTAATGGGTTCTAACAAAAAAATTTATTTAAGAAAAAGATAAAAGTTGGCGAACTTCTTGTTAAGTTAGGTTATATCTTAAGCTAAGTGGAGCTGTATGAACGCCGTCGTTAGCCTGCATATTCCGAACTTCTTAGGTTAGGTTAGTTTAAATGTTAAGTTAGATTCAATTTTTTGTTAGAACCCACCTTTATATTATGTTAAGTCGAATTTAAGGCGGATTTTGGCGACTTAAGAAAATTCAATTTAAGGCTACTTTAAGTCTAGCTTGACTGCTGGTGCAACTGAAATTTAGAGTTAGGTCTCGGCTTAAAGATAAGTCCGACTTAAGTTAGTCTTAAAATGTTGGTGCAAGTGGCCATAAACGAAGATAGCTAACTCATCGGTGAAGTCACTGATTAGAATAAAAAAGAGGGGATATCTTCGACAATTTGACGTTTTATGCGTGTATCAAAAGTCAATTTGTCGATGCAATGTCAAAAAAGAGCGAATTTCGCGCAAGTGAGAATGGGGCATAAGGAGTGCCTATCAGCCTTGTTTTTGGTAATCGCCGCCATATTGGTGTGATACCATTTCCGACGTCATAACTAAGTCGTCAGCTGTTTAAATAAACGTCAAGAGTCAAGGCAATAAATGACATTCTGTCTACGTCACAACTGGTATTTTGGCGTGGGGGGGATTTGATACACAGAGGCCTTATGAGGATAGGCCATCCTGTAGTAGTAGTGAGTGTGTATCATCCTTGAATGGAATCAGCGTTTCTGAGACGGCCTCTTGACAATCTTGACACGTGACGTGACATACATAGTTCTTTTCTAAAAAGTTGGCCGCTTGCTTTTTGCTATGCCACGAGTTATGACATGGCTCTCATGCTGGGAGGAATTTAATTTAATTTTTATTTTTTTCGGTTAATAAATACCAAAAATGCCCACAAAATGCTCACATCTTGCCAATGCTCCCATTTTTACCCCCAAATATATAAAATGCTCAAAAATGTGAGCAAATGCTAACACATTGGTAACACTGGCAGTAAATGCAACAATAATAACTAACTAAATGTATGTATGTACTCTGAATTATTTAAATATACCTATTAAATGTTGTGTTAACATATCTATTAGCTGAATTAAATTCATTTTTTTTTCAATGGTGAATTTGGCTTTGGTTGAAGAAAATTAATGTTTACTCTCTGGATCAGAAATCACCTAGAATTAAAATAATACATCATCCTTTTTTAGGCAGCTTGTGGGCATTATTCTTGTAAAGTGTACCACCAAATAAATAAACTCAGGCACAGGAATGTTCAAAGAATGTAAAGAAAACAAAAAAAATCTCTAGCGCAGCCCTGTTTCACTCTATCTGCACTGCATGCACTGCACTACTCCATCTGTTCTACTCTATCTGCACTACTCTATCTGATCTACTCTTTCTGCACCACTCTATCTGATCGGAATAGTGGAATAGTTCTGTTCGAAATAGCTCCAGTTCCTGAGCAGCATTGTTCTACTGTATCTGCAATGCCGAGCTTCGTTCCAGGTATCAGAGATGGCGCGGTATACAAAATACAAAATAGAAAATAAACTTGGTATCGGTTATAACAGATGCCGCCGTATGCGGGCTTGGTAAATTTTTTTCATAAATAAATAAAATAAGTAATGAAATGACCACATTAATGACATAACAACATGCTGGTACAGTCAACGCTGAAAAAAGTTTCAATTTGACAGCAAAATCCCCATTAACAAAATGATCCTCCATTTATTGAATAATTAATTTATTACAAAAAATGTGATAAATGAAGAACCGCTCGACCGATTTTGTGCAAACTTCACATAAACCATCTAATAAATAGTCCGAACAAAGCCTAA